GGAGGGGTAAGCGGCGGCCAGAGCCCCCGGCCCGCCCCGGGTCGCCGTCTCCGGGTGGCCCCGGTCCCCCGGTGACGGTCCCGCGCCCACAGGGAAGCGCAGAGGCTGCGGTTCGGACAGTGGCTGCTGAACGCCATCAGCAGCGGGAACTACCGGGGGCTGCGCTGGATCGACTCTGCCCGCACCATCTTCCGCGTGCCCTGGAAACACAACGCCAGGAAAGACATCACCAGCAGTGACCTGGAGGTCTTCAAGGTGGGTGGGATGAGTGTCAGCAGCAGGCTCAGGGTCTTCAAGGTGTGTGGGATAGGATGGTGACCAGCAGCAAGCTGAGGTCTTCAAGGTAGGGGGAATGTGGGAACTGGGAAGGTGGGGAAGACCAGTCATCCCTGGAAACCTCCGTGCTCATGGAGCCAGGGACCCCATGCCCACCTCCCTGCACCCCCAGGCCTGGGCAAAGGTCAGTGGGCGCTATGAGGAAGGCTCTGAGGACCCGGCCAAGTGGAAGACCAACTTCCGTTGTGCCCTGAGCAGCACGCACATGTTCAAGCTGGAACAGGACCATTCCAAGCGTGGTGATGACCCCCACAAGGTCTTCTCCATTGTCTCAGGTGAGCCTCGCCCCATGGAGGGGCTGTGTTGGGTGGGGTGGGCAATCTCAAGACTTCCCATTCCTGGTGCTCTCCTTTCAGCCACCCTCCAGCACGGCACGCAGGGAGATTCCAGCATCCCAAACCCTGCGGTGGACCAGCAGGCAGCACAAGAGCAGCTGCAGGTAGCTGGGTGGGCACAGCAGGCCAGGGTGGGTCCCTGCTGCCACTCCACAAGTATTGTTCCCAAGCTGCAGCCCAGCACCTGGCCAAAATGGAGAGGCTGGGAGAGGCTGGGTGCCTGGCAACCACAATAATATGATCCACTTTCTTTCCCTTTCCAGCTGGAGCTCCACCCCCAAGACATAGCCTCAGCAATCGCTGTGCCAGGTAAGCACTAGTCCCACAATCTTTCTTTGGGAGAGGACACCCAGTAGGCTCAGCTGGGGCTGATTTTGTGGCTGTGAGACATCCTACTCGCTGTGCTCTCCCTTAGAAAGCACTGACCCCACACAGCTCAAGACTCTGGAGGACCTGCTGCAGCACTGTGATATCTCTCCCCGTGACCTTGGCCCGCTCACCGCACCCTGGGTGCCCACAGGTGAGACCAGCTCTGCTCACAGGGTGCAGAGTTGGTGACCGCCTGGGTGAGTGATCCCAGCACCTTCCCACAGGTGGCTTCCCTGCGGGGGACACTCCCCACCAGGACATTGTGCTCCAGCCTCACCAGGACATTGTGCTCCAGCCTCACCAGGACACCCTGCTCCAGCCTTACACAAACACCAGCCGAAACAGTTGCTTCCCTCCCACGACATTTCCACAATGGGTGCCCACGGTGGAGCAGCCCACCTTGGACACCTACCAAGCAACGGGCCTCATGCCACCAGAAGAGACAGGTGGGTGCCATGGGGCAGGATCTGACCCTGGCAATACCATGATGGGGTGGGAAGAGGCCAGGGGACTGCCTTGAGCACCCCACACCAAAGCAGCCCCCAACCTGCTTTGTCTGGAATGGTGATGCTGATGCTGCTCATCCCCCGCTGCAGGGGCCGTGCCAGCGCCATGCCACCTGATGGAGAGCGCGGTCCCCATGCAGTACGCGGCGGAGGCGACGTTGTTTGTGCCTGCCGCCAGTCCTGTGCCACAGCCACGGCTGCTGCTGGATAACACAGGTGAGGGCTATTAGTTAATTGTAATAAATTATTATTACAATTATTAACAGTAAATATGCTTGGGGGGGTGCTCTGGGGAGGTTCGGAGGATGCGGCTGCTGATTGCTTCCTGGTGCAGATGGCATCGTCTCCATCCTGGATGTCACCATCTACTACCGGGGGAAGGAGTTCCACCGGGAGGTGGTTGGGGGCAGCCGCTGCCTGCTGACATACCAGCCCCCCAGTCTGCCGGAGAGCCCGTGCCCCTGGCACGTGGTGCACTTCCCCAGCCCCGCCAGCGTGGCCGACGGCAAGCAGCGGCGCATCACCGAGGAGCTGCTGGGTGTCGCGGGGCTGCAGCTGGAGCAACGCGCCTACAAGGTCTTTGCTACCCGCCGGGAGAAGTGCAAGGTGTTCTGGGCCTTGTCCCAGCAGCTCGAGGGGGTTGAGGAGCCTCCACCCAACCTGCTCTACCGGGACCAGGAAACGCCCATCTTTGACTTCAATGAGTTTTGCACAGGTAGGTAGGTGTGTCACGTAGTTCCCCATGTGTTGTTTCCTGCCCAGCCTGCTCTGGGGCTCATGGGAGCCAGCCCCAGGATATTACAAGCATCCAAACCCTCCCAGCCCCTCTGTTCCACTGGGCTCAACCCAAAACTGAGCCCTGTTTTGCCTCACAGAGCTGAGGGACTTCCGCAATGGCCAAAGGCGGCGATCCCCTGACTTCACCATCTACCTCTGCTTTGGGCAGGCCTTCTCCAAGACCAAGCCTAAGGAGTCCAAGCTCATCCTGGTCAAGGTGCAGCAGCCAAACCCACTATCCCACTTCTGCCCAGGGGAGGGGAGATACTCATGGAGGCCAGGGAAGCTGGGACCCTGGATGCCTGAGGAGGGGCATCCTCAAGGTCGAGTTGGGTGGGAGGAGGGTCTGGGTGCCTGAAGAGCGACCCTTGGGGATTGAGGCAGGTGGGATTCTGGCTGCCCAGGGATGGGGATGCCTAGGTGTGGAGAGGTGATGGAGTTTCCTCAGGGACTGGGCAGGGGGGCCTCAGGAGCCAAAGGAGGTGAGTGCTTGGGTGCTCAAGAGAGGAGTCCCTCAGTGTGCAGTGGAGATGGGGATTTGGGAACCCTCATGATCTGGGGCAGATGGACATCTGGATACCCAAGGAGGGGGTAGCCTGGGGGCTGAGAGAGGTGGGGGAATTGAGTGACTGGGGAGGGAGACCCTTAGAGGCATGGATGGGGGCAGCATGACCAGGGAGGGAACCCTTAGGAACCAGAGAAAACATGGGACGAGGGTGGGCCAGAGGACACTCGGGGTCTGGGTGGGATGGTGTGGAAGGCAGCTGCCCAACGACAGGGACCCTCAGGGGTTGAGGGAGACAAAGGGTGCCCCAGACATCTCCCTGCTGCACTCCAGGAGGACAGGGCCAAGCATGTTGTTGCAGCCATATCAGGCAGCTGCCCTAACCTGCCCCTAACCCCGATGTTTTGCCACTGCAGCTGGTGCCCAAGTTCTGCGAGTATTACTACGACCAGGTGCTGCAGGAGGGAGCCTCCTCCTTGGACAGCCACACCATCAGCCTGCAGCTCTCCAACTCCTTTGACCTCATGGAGCTCATTGAGCAGTACAACATGCAGCTGGGCTGACCCCACCTCCCCCATCCCCATGGCCCTGGCACAGGCAGCAGGACCCCTGGGCATCCCAGGCTCTGCAAACCAGCACCCCCCAACCCAAGGACAGCTTCACTGACCAGTCCTGGAGCTCACACATTGCTTTTCCCCTCTGTCAGCTTCTAGTGTGTTTTTTTGTGGAGAGTGGTAATTTACAGATTTATTTTTTTTAATTTTTCCAAGTTAAAATATATATGTATAGAAATGTAGTTCTCTTGCTGCTGTTGCCTGGATATCTGCCTCTGCTATCAGTCTGAAATCTTCACCACCCCCTTCTACCCCCAAAACCACAGGGGTCCATGCCCAGCCTTGTCTCAGCAAAGTCCCTGCTTGCAGGGGTGGGCTGGTATCAGAGAGCTTTATCAGCGTCTTCTTCCTCGTAAATTTGAGTAGATGAGGTGAATTCCCAGCGTGAAGGGATGCATTTATCAATGTATTTATTTCCATGCATTAAGGCTGCAAACATGATTTGCCAGCAGAGTGTGTTGAGGACAGCTTGGCTTGGGCTAAACAAAAGTAATTCGCTGAGCACTGGCCCAGAGTCACTTTCTGGAGATGTTCTGGAAAAATAAGGCAGCAACTACAAAACGAAACACCCAGAGTGCCAGCTCAGAGCTGCAGAGAGGGTGGTATCTCAGGGAGGAGTGTGGAAACCAGAGGGCTGCCTGAAGATGGGGTGTGCCCTCCCCAGGCTGCAAGCAACTGCACCCCCTCATTTCAGGAGCCTGACCATCACTGTGGTCCCTGGGCAAGAGGAGGGAGCAGTGTCCTTACCTGCCTGTGACCTGGATGCTGCTGGGCCCAAAGGTGGTGGTCCTGTAGCTTGTCACATAATAGTGAGCAGAGGGCTGTGCTGGGGCTCCTCCTGTGGCCTGGGTGCTGTGGGAATGGTACACCCTTGGCACCGGAGCTCCATGAAACCCTCAGCCCTCTTTTCCCTGAGCACAGTTGTGGCACAAACTCGGGACACTGGGCTCACCTTTGGGCTGGGACAGTGCCCACACGTCCCGCAGGTTTTGACGTCTTCCTTTCTCCTGTGGAGGAAAAATATGATGCCAAGGCGATGGAAGGGGCTTTCTCTTCCCCCCCTGACCTGAGGTACAGCCGTTGGTGGGACGGCTGAGCACCTTCAGCTCTTCATGAAACAGGGACACATGGGCACATGTCCAGAGAGAACATTCTGTGCCTGAGCCCTAGAGTCTCAGCTTCTTCACCTTTCCCTCCATGCTCCAATTTCCCACACCAGGAAGTGCTAACACCACATGGGACACATGGGAGCTGCTATGGTCGGGAGAAGGGCACCTGGTGAGTTTCATGACTAATTTCACCTGGCTTTTAGAAGCTGACCAGCTGCACCAGCATTGCAGTAAGTGACCACGTGGGTCCTGCCTTGCTTGCAGGGCACTGTGTGTACCTACCTGGCACCTGTGCCATCCATGTCTGGCCAGAGGAACTCTGCAGGACAGATGGACGTTCGGCAGGGCATCCTCACACGTGCAGCCCCGGCCACTCCTCAGTGAGCTTCTGGATGGTGAGCGCAACTGCCACGAGGAACTCCCAGGCAACTGGAACCTTCCAGGCAAAAGAAGAATGTCTTGCTTTCTTACAGCCCCCAGCCACAGCAGCCCAGGAGATTCTGTTGTGACCCACACATCATTTCCAGCCCACAGCGTCAACTGTCAGACCAGCTCCATTTCTGCAGTTAACCAAACCTCTATAAGGAATTTAATGATATGTTGAAAGTGGTCCCCAGCTTGAGTGGCCCTTTTGCTTATCACTTGAAGACCCAGACTTAGACTGTACTCTGCTGGGGCCTTCTGGGGAAGGACAACCCATTTGCTCCATGACAAGAATGAAAACTTCATTTTCCACTTCCACGTGATACCTCTAGAGGAGTCCTGAACAGAATTGCATGGAGAAAGAGGGAACCTTTAAGTGGAATGCTGGTGGACCCAGGCCAGACTAGGACATGTTGCAGAGGCTTCTTCGGACACTTCCATAGGGCTGGAGGTGGCAGGGGCAGAGCTAAGGAGAGACATGGGGTTGGGAGTCATGAAATACAGATCAGGGATCTTACCTGTCCTTTCTGATGGCTTTCTGCAGTGGAGCTCCAGGTAGCTGTAGGCCCTCTGGTTATTCTTTTGATCAGCAGGGGTTTGCCATTGCATACCAGCAGGCAGGTCACCTTGGCCACCCAGTGCGTGCAATAGAAGGAGCGGAACCTGCAAGGAGATTGCCCATGGCTTTCACCACTTTTCTCCTAGCTTATCTCTAATGCTGGGAGAAAGCATGGCACCAGATGGACTTGAAAATATTAACTGAGTTTCAGTAAGAACAGACACCAAACGAGGACCTTCCCATACTGAAAGCTCAAGCAGCAAGAGCAACCTCTTAAACCAAGAGATCCTTCCAGAGTTGGCCATCTTGTCTTGGTTTTGTCTGGGATGGAATTAATTTTCTTCCTAGTAGCTGTGCTTCGGATTTAGGATGAGAATGATGTGGATAACACACTGATCTTTTAGTTGCTGCTGAGCAGGGCTTACATCAAGTCAAGGATTTTTCAGGTTCTCAGGCTGCCCTGCCAGCGAGGGGATTGCACAAGAAGCTGGGAGAGGACAGCCAGGACAGCTGACCCCAAATGACCACAGGGTTATCCCATACCCAGTGGCATCATGCTCAGCATATAAACCTGGGGGAGAGCTGGCTGGAGGACCACTGCTTGGGAACAGGCTGGGCATGAGTTGGTTAGTGCTGAGCAATTGTATTTGCAGCACCTGTTCTTGGGTTTTATTTCTCTCTTTGCTGATTTCCTTTTCATTACAATATTATAGTTGCTATTACTGTTATAATTTATTTCAACTATTAAACTCTTTATCTCAACCCATGAGGTTTCTCATTTTTCTGATTCTCTCCCCAATCCAGCTGAGATTCTTTGGGGAGAGTGAGTGAGTGAGTGAGTGAGTGAGTGAGTGAGTGAGTGAGTGAGTGACTCTGTAGTGTTTGGTTGCTGGTTGGGGTTTAACCACACCACCATCAGATAAAACTCTAGACTCAAGTCCAGAAAACCAGGAGAAGTTCCAAAAACTGGTACAGTTCCAACACCCATAGAAACTAGAACATTCTTGGGTGAGACTCAGAGACCTCTGCCTGCCTGTCTGGGCACAGATTAGCCAAACAGCCCCCCAGATGAAAGGTGAACCAGAAAGCGTGGCCTTTGCTCACATCCAGGCAGTGAACATTGCAAGGGTTCACCCAGGGCCCCACATGCGTGTGGCACAGCTGAGAAGCCACCCTGGTATTCTGACTCCTCAGCAGATACAATCTCAACAGCCAAGGGTTTGCTTAGAGTCACCCTGGCACTGCACCAAGCAAACTCAATCCCACAACCTCACTGATGGCTGGAAACCAATGCTTACCTCCGGAATAAGCCCTCAGGTATTTAGAGTGAGAAGCAGGCACAGATGTGGAGGTCCTCAGGATGATCTCCTCCCCACACCTCAGACACTTCCTCTGTCTGGTTCAGATAGGTTGGGAACAAGTACCAGGACTCACCTTGGCTCCGTGTGGTCTCCCATGGCTTCCCAGGCACAAACTCCCCGGACTGTGGGTTGAGTGCTTGAGCGCTTCACCTCCAGGCAGAGCTCAAAGTGCTCCAGGAGGCTGAAGAGCTTCCCTCTCCCTCTGTGAGGCCTGTGTCCCATGATTTCCTCAAAGACATCCCACATCCCTTCCGGACAGAGCTTGTGCTTCACCAAAGCACAGCATTGCTGTTGACTTGAAGGCCACACCAGCTGGATTTGTCTCTAATGGTGGCATGTTCTCCCATCAAGGTCTCCATGGAGATGCTCCTGAGCTGCTGGACAGGTGGTGCTGCACCAGGAGCTGCATGGGAAGAGAAGGAGAGATGAGGTGGCAGTGAGAGGAACCCAGCAAAGCTGCAGGACTTGGGCTCTACAGAGATGGTCCTGGTCCCCATACTCACCTTGAACATCATTATTAAAAATGTAGGCTGGAGAATGACGGTACTTTCCAAGTGCTTGATTTCCTCATACCACACAATGAGCCTGATGTCCTGGGGGAGCTCTCTGCCCAGGCTGGCCAGGTGCTCGTGCTGGGAGAGTTTGCTGAGTAGGTACTGGAGGTCCATCATGCCTAGAGGGAGATGCAGGAGCTCAGCGTGCATCTATCAGACACAGAATTCCAAGGCTGATGCTTCAGAGAGCCAACAAACACCAGCAGCATTCCGTATCACCTATGCCATCCCTGGGGAAATAGCTAGCATCAGAGTGATGCTTGGTGACTGTGACCAAAAATGTTCTGCCTCTCCTCAGCTGTCTAAGTGCTGCCCTGAAGCTCCCACAGCTTTCCTTGCCTCAGCAATGGCAACAGCCTGCCAGGACTTTCTGAAAAACAAGGCTGATACTGGGTTGAGTTTTTTTTTATTGTTTGAGGAAGCAGGTTTGTTTCCAGCCAGAAAACCTCAGATTGCCAGTTAAACCTCAGACCGTCATTCAGCAGTGCAGAGAGACAGGCAACAAAATCTGGCTTATCTCCACAAAAGAAAAGCATTTACTCGTTGTTCACTAATCCTACTAATCCCTCCCCCAGAGGGGCCAGAGATGGCACTGGGAACTGGTGGTGCTCATATTTGCTTTAGGTAAATAAGCAAGAGGCTGGGGCTGCCTCCTAGTCCTGCTATGTCACAGGACACATGGAAAAAGGGCCTAGGGAAGGGTAAGGGGCCATTAAATAAAGTTAGCAGAATGTAGACTTGAAAACATTGTTGCATTAAAGCTATGGAGCTCCTTCCTGCAAGATGTTTTTAATTGCTTATACAAAGAAAAGGGGAGAAAGAAAAGCATCACTTGAAAGCAAGAAACTAGACAACATGGCCTACTCAGGTAGGTGTGCTCAGCATTAACACTGCAAGGTCTTTGGCAGTGACCCCACTGCCACACAAATGGGCCAGAAGGTGCAGCAAGTGCTGGAGAGCCCATCCCCAAATCAGGAGAGCACTGGAGAGAGCCTGTCCCAGGTGTGGACAGAAGCTCCTCTCAGCAAGGCGAGGCAGGGGTGACAGAGCACCCACCATGGCCTGCCATCGCCTGGCTCTGTGCAACAGCCACGATGGCAGCTTCCACCTGCCTGTGGATGGGCAGCAGCACTTGGACAACCTCAGGGATGAGCTCCTTGTTCTTCACATGCTTCAAAATAGTGGCCTCGAGCTTTCTGCTGTCACAGTGATCCATGCACTTTACAGCAACTGAGCTGAAGATCTGGAAAAGAGAGAGCAGATACCTGACAAAAGCACATCCAGAGGAGTGTTTAACCTGTGAGGTAAAGGAAGGACCTAATGGCCCTGAGGTCCCCCAGGGTGGGACACTCCACTGGCTCAGCTTCAGAGGGCACTTCCTTCACACCTCTGTTCTGTGGCAGTTCCTGAAAATCACCTGGTGATGGTAAATGACCCCTCACACTCCTCCTCAGGCACTTGCCACAAGCCACAGGAGGAGATGTCCATCACCTACCAGGGACAAGGTCCCTGCAGGTCACAGCCAAGGGTCACCATATCCACTCCAGCCTGGGGAGGGGCTGCAGTAGTGGCCTGATGCACCAGGTCACCTTAGCCAGTAGAAAATTGAGCTGCCAGAGATAGCAGGGTGACCTCAGCCAGCCAGAACCCAGGATATCTCAGCCCTACAGTTAACATGCAGCTCTCCATCTCTTTCAGCCTCTCCTGCTGGTCCACGAAAAACCTGGGCTCCTTGCTGCCCGCCAGGT